TTTTGATGGTCCTTTTTGGCTCATTTAAATAAATGGGTTGCCTTAATTTCACGTATATTTATTTATTTCAGGTACTTCTATAGTGCCATCAATTTACGCAGCGCTTTACATATATATTGTACAGTCACATCAGTCCCCGCCCCCGAGGAGCATACAATCTAAGGTCCCTAACTCGCATTCATACATACACATACTAGGGCCAATTTAGAGAGGATCCAATCAACCTACCAGCATGTCTTTGGAGTGTGGGAGAAAACCGGAGTACCCGGAGGAAACCCACTCAAGCACAGGGAGAACATGCAAACTCCAGGCAGGTGATGCCATGGTTGGGATTCGAAACCGACGACCCGAGTACTGCCAGGTGGAAGTGCTAACCATTTAGCCAATGTGCTGCCCACACGTATATATGAGAGTCTAGGATCTGATCCGACTCTATGCAGCACTCTTTTCATTTTTTTGTCAACTAGTTTTGGGTAAATTATTAGACAGTCCAGCAGTGAAGGGCCCTTGTTTTCTTGAACCCCAGCGCAGTGGCAAGATTTTCTTTGGCTGTAGTTACATCCTTAATTACATATGTAATGTATTTACACAGGACATTCATCTTGAAGGAAATTAATAATATAACTAATATCCTTACCGTTTATTTTTGTTTTCCTTAAAATAAGCGAACATTCTATGTGGATGTCAAAGTGATGATGTGTCCTAATAATACAGCATGTGATGAGGTCACTAAAAAATGTGTCTGCAAACATAATCTACAGCCGTCTCACATAGAAAGGCAACACAATGAAGAATTCTATACATTGAAAATATACAGCTGTGTGTTAGACTGGAAGAAAATACATTTTATAAAAACGTTGCTGTTTATTTTATATCTTACTGTTTATTGAACAAAAACCATTGCAAACTGTCTAAACTTCACTCAGCGCAACTTTAAAAATAAAAAAAGTCAAATTGAGCATCTCTCTATAGTGGTTTATTACACCTATTATTGACACAAAGGGGTTTATTTACTAAAGCTGGAGAATGCAAAATCAGGCTGACTTCTGCACTGAAACCAATCAGCCTCTAGTCTCAGCTTCCTCAATTAAAACCTGGAAGATGATTGGTTTCTATGCAGAAGTGAGCCTGACTTTGCACTCATCAACATTATTATTATTATTATACAGTATTTATAAAGCGCCAATAGTTGGCTCAGCGCTGTACATTACAAAGGGGGACAGAACATGTGACAGAACAATACCAATACAATGCAAAACATGAGGGGATCGAGGGCCCTGCTCCTTGGAGCTTACAATCTAGGAGGGAGGGGATGGTGGCACAGGAGGAGATAGCTGTGGGGGATGAGGTGGTAGGAAGAGTGGAGGAGGTTGGCAGGTTAGCAGGGGGTGGGGTAGGCTTCCCTGAAGAAATGGGTTTTCAGGGTGCGCCTGAAGGAGAGGAGAGTAGGTGATAATCTGATGGGTTGGGGCAGGGAGTTCCAGAGGATGGGTGACACCCTGCAGAAGTCCTGGAGGCGGGCATGGGAGAAAGGGAGGCCAGGGAACTAGAGAAAAGTAGGTCTTGTGAGGAGCGGAGTGTGCGTGTTGGGTGGTACTTGGATATTAGGTCAGTGATGTAGTTCGGGGCAGTATGGTGGACGGCTTTGTACGTCAGTGTTAGGATTTTGAATTTGATCCGTTGTGCAATCGGAAGCCAGTGTAGGGATTGGCAGAGGAGGGTGGAGGACACTGAGTGGAGGCCAGTGGAGGGATTGGCAGAGGGGGGTGGAGGACACTGAGTGGAGACCAGTGGAGGGATTGGCAGAGGGGGGGTGGAGGACACTGAGTGGAGGCCAGTGGAGGGATTGGCAGAGGGGGTGGAGGACACTGAGTGGAGGCCAGTGGAGGGATTGGCAGAGGGGGGGGGTGGAGGACACTGAGTGGAGGCCAGTGGAGGGATGGAGGGCAGAGGGGGGGAGGGAGGCCAGTGGAGGGATTGGCAGAGGGGGGTGGGGGTGGAGGAGAAGGAGTGGTTGGAAAGGTGAATGAGTCTGGCAGCCGTGTTCAGGATGGACTGAAGCGGGGATAGCCAGCGGCGAGGCAGGCCAGTGAGGAGGGAGTTGCAGTAGTCGAGTCGTGATATGATGAGGGAGTGGATGAGCTGTTTAGTGGTTTCTGGGGTTAGGAGCGTGCGGATTTTGGCGATGTTGCGGAGGTGGAGTCTGCACGAGTTTGTTAAAGAGTGGACTTGGGGCTGGAAGGATAGGTTGGAGTCCAACATGACTTGAATTCAATCCCACGATGGATGTACTTCCATTAGATCTGTAATTACGACCACAAGATCATACATTATCATTTCCGGCAATGTTTCTGATTACACAGCGACTTTGTAAACATGACACAGTGCGCTGCCCGGGGCTGTCTCAATACGATTGACCTAAACAATATACAGGGTGCAGCAACATAACTTCCTTTTTTGAAATGCGTGCCATTCAGGCTGTAGCGGCCATAGTGGGGCGGGAGTGGTCTCAGACGACAGGCGTAGTTCTAAAGTTTTTGTTCTCTTCCACGTCAGTCATCATCATGCGTTGGAACAGTGAGCAGCGTGCGTTTTGCCGTAAAGGCCTACTTTTCGAACGGATTTTCTGTGATCGCAACCCAACGCACCTTCTGACATCGCTTCAATGTAGCCCCGTTGGGCCGTGTCCCGGACCGGAAATCAATTGTTACGTGGGTCACTACGTTCAGACAAACCGCGAGTACGACAAGACGAACAGCTGGAGTCCCTCGACCCATCAGATCACCTGAGAACATCGAAGCAGTGAGAGCTTCAATCTTGCAATCCCCGCAGCGTTCTGCGCACAAACATGCGTCTGCCCTTGGACTTTCAGATCGTTCAGTGAGGCGAATTCTTCACGATGACCTTCATTACCATCCGTACAAGTTGGCGATTGTGCAGGAACTCTCCGAACGCGACTTCAATTCTCGGAGGAACGCATGTGAGGCAGTACTCGAAAACGTCCCTGAGGACGCAATTGTTTTTACAGGGATGAAGCCCATTTTCACTTGACTGGATGCATCAATGAACAGAACATGCGCTACTGGGCTGACACCAATCCTCGAGAATTGCATCAAAAGGCCTTTGTATTCATCTAAAGTCACAGTGTGGTGTGCAATTGCCTCAGCTGGGATTATTGGTCCCGGGTTCTTTGAAGAAAATGAGGTCACAGTGACAGTGAATTCAGACCGGTATGTGAACATGTTGGAGGAATTTGTTTTTCCACGACTTGATGAATTGGACTTAGGGGGACATTTGGTTCCAACAGGACGGAGCAACGGCTCACACTTCAAGAGCATCAATGGCTGTTTTAGGGGAACACTTCCCGGAGCGCCTCATCTCAATAAGGGGTGATTTGGAGTGGCCAGCCCGCTCCCCCCATTTGGCCCCTTGCAACTTTTTTTTGTGGGGTTTTTTGAAATCCCACGTTTATGTAAACCGTCCAAGGACCCTACAAGACCTGAAGGCCAACATCCGCGCAGAAATTGCCAACATACCCGCTGCTATGCTGGTAAGGGTCATGAAAAGCGCCAGAAATCGGCTTATTCAGTGTATGGACAATGGGGGGCGTCACCTACCTGATATGATTTTCAAAACTGTGTAAAACAGAACGTTAGATATGTACCTACATTATTAAAGACAATAAAAACAATTCTGATTCATAAAATGGGTTTTATTGCGTTTTGAGAAAAGGAGTTATGTTGCTGCACCCTGTATATGGGCACCAAGTGCAACTTTTAGGTTAATATTAAAATGAATGAAACATAATTGGGGGCTTCTTTACTAAAGCCGGAAAATGCTAAATCTTCTGCACTTCTGAATAGAAACCAATCAGCTTCCAGGTTTTATTGCCAAAGCGTAACTGAACAAGCTGAGGTTAGAAGCTGATTGGCTCCCATTCACACCCGCACCAGATTCTGAGTTCAGATTCCAGCTTTAGTAAATCTCCCCCCATGTCTGCAGGTTTCTGAAAGAATCAGTCCTCATTTTTGGTCATTTCTCATTTCCCTAGAGACCGGCTATTTTCATTACAAAAACTGATGACAAAATGATATTGCTGCATATTGCCATGGCAGTGGCCATTGCTACCACTTTAAATCCATAATAAACATGTTTGCTTGTTTGAGCATTAGAATGACAACTGCCATTGGCCTTAAAGCAAAAATGTTCTTTGTCTTGCATGGGCAAATAACTGAGGTACATTGAAGTGTTATTAAACCCACAACAGTAAAATCAGTCTGTATAGGCAGTACTGCTATAGTTACTGGAGAACCTAAGGGGCTAATTCTCTGCATTTTGTAAAAAAGCTGTTTGATCCTTTCTTCTCTGATCCTCCCCTTCTTCCACTATCCCCAATCCATCCGATAGTACAGAGCCCTAGGAGTCACTCTGCACATGCTCAGTTTGGAATTGCTAGAGGGTTTTTTGGGGGGAGGAGGGTGCATGTGATTATCACAGGGCCAATCAGCACAGTCCAGACAGAGGGTCAGGGGTCATGCAGCCTCATAGGACAGTCAAAGGAGAATGAAAACTCCTCCTACAAGCTTTAACCAGTACCCGGCCTGCCACCAAGAGAAGTCACAAGACTGCTATATACTGCTGATGAGAAAAGGTATTTCACAGTTTACATTTACTAAAATAATTGCATTTCCATGTTCTGTGTACTGTGGGAGAATATGAATGCGGGGTCCGGGGAGACCAGATATAGTGAATGCGGGGTCTGGGGAGACCAGATATAGTGAATGCGGGGTCCGGGGAGACCAGATATAGTGAATGCGGGGTCCGGGGAGACCAGATATAGTGAATGGGGGGTCCGGGGAGAGCAGATATAGTGAATGCAGGGTCCGGGGAGACCAGATATAGTGAATGCAGGGTCCGGGGAGACCAGATATAGTGAATGCGGGGTCTGGGGGAGACCAGATATAGGGAATGCGGGGTCCGGGGAGAGCAGATATAGTGAATGCGGGGTCTGGGGAGACCAGATATAGTGAATGCAGGGTCCGGGGAGACCAGATATAGTGAATGCAGGGTCCGGGAGACCAGATACAGTGAATGCAGGGTCTGGGGAGACCGGATATAGTGAATGCGGGGTCCGGGGAGAGTGGATATAGTGAATGCGGGGGTGAATGCGGGGGGGAGAGCAGATATAGTGGATGCAGGGTCCGGGGAGAGCGGATATAGTGAATGCAGGATCCGGGGAGAGCAGATATAGTGAATGCGGGGTCTGGGGAGACCAGATATAGTGAATGCGGGGTCCGGGGAGACCAGATATAGTGAATGCGGGGTCCAGGGAGATCAGATATAGTGAATGCAGGGTCCGGGAGACCAGATATAGTGAATGCAGGGTCCGGGGAGACCAGATATAGTGAATGCGGGGTCCGGGGAGACCAGATATAGTGAATGCGGGGTCTGGGGAGACCGGATATAGTGAATGCGGGGTCCGGGGAGAGCGGATATAGTGAATGCAGGATCCGGGGAGAGCAGATATAGTGAATGCGGGGTCCGGGGAGACCGGATATAGTGAATGCGGGGTCCGGGGAGACCAGATATAGTGAATGCAGGGTCGGGGAGACCAGATATAGTGAATGCAGGGTCCGGGGAGACCAGATATAGTGAATGCGGGGTCCGGGGAGACCAGATATAGTGAATGCGGGGTCCGGGGAGACCGGATATAGTGAATGCAGGGTCTGGGGAGACCGGATATAGTGAATGCAGGGTGCGGGGGAGACCGGATATAGTGAATGCAGGGTCCGGGGGGAGACCAGATATAGTGAATGCGGGGTCCGGGAAGACCAGATATAGTGAATGCGGGGTCCGGGGAGACCAGATATAGTGAATGCGGGGTCCGGGGAGACCAGATATAGTGAATGCGGGGTCCGGGGAGAGCGGATATAGTGAATGCAGGGTCCTGGGTTTAGTAACACTTTAAGGGTTTGTGTGTTAATGACACCAGTTTGAGGTGCTTCTGAGATCATTCAGTTCATTAACAAGTGCGTTTGACCTGCAGTAAACCTCCTTCTGACCTGCATTTGACGTGCTTCAAGCAGGGATTGCATTCCCATAGACTTGTATGGAAATACAAAACGTTTGAAGCAAAAAAAAAGAAAAGCCCGTTGACACAAGTCTTCGTCTTATTGTTACAAATGTTCTCCCTTTCCTTTTATCTGATGCAATTACTGCTAGTGGCTAAAACCGAAGAAGAAGAAGAAGAAGAATGGATACTGTAAGCTCTGCTCCAGCCCAGACTGACTCAGTTCACGTTCCCCACTCATTGTAGTGATGACTTACTGCGGGAGATAATGTGGCATTTCCTGACCAGAAGAACATTCCACCATGGACAAGGGCATCAGCAGGAAATGTTGATGATGATGAAATGGAGCAAAGAATGACCTTGCCAATGCTGGTTACTGCCTTTCTCCACAGAATGTGAAGTTGTTCTGACATTACAAGACGTGAGAACCAGCCATGCGTTTATATTCCTGGGGCACATGACTGCAATTCTTCTTCTCCAATACATTCCATTCTGGTGATGAATCTTCTGCGTCCCCATGAGCCGGTACACCACCAATGACTCCTCATGATCATCGCCTGACCTAGAATCAGAAGTAGTAGCTGCAAGTGACTCACCCTCATCCTTTGTACCCTCAGTCTGCCACAGAGATCATCATCAATGCAAATGTCTTTTAACTCTTCACCACTTTCCTATATTGATTATCTTTATAAACCTACTTCTCCTGATTGATTAAATTGGTGGTGGGGGTGGGGGGGGGGATTTTTATGTCACTTTTGCAGTATACAGCATTCCTGTGCGATTCACATGCGATTTACCGCATTCCTGTGCGATTCACATGCGATTTACCGCATTCCCGTGCGATTCCCGTGTGATTCACATGCGATATTCCGCACCGCACATATATGTGAACCCGGGCTAAGCCATCCTCTATCAGGCTCAGTATAGTTGGTTAATATATCGCCATCTTGTGGTTCTTTTGGTTATAGCACCATCTTTTTCTGTCTTCCACGCTGTGTTCCTCCCACTTGTGATGTATTTCCGATTCCTTTCCACTCCTCTGTCTTTGTTCCGGGAACACATTACCTTGTTTTGATCTGCAAATATCATCTGTTTAATCATCTGCGTGCAATAAAGATGTTGTGGATGTAAGGACTGTGCGGCGATTGTATCTGCTGATACAGGCCAGGCATACAGGTCGCAGCGAGGGATCAATCACTGATACTACGCTTGGAATCACAATACCTCTTCAACTCTGTATATGGCACAAGCTGGGGGGGCAAACATTGCAATTTGCTGAGATGTAGAAAAATCTTCTGACATCCACCTGTTAGCACAATGCTGTTCCTGAGATCGCTAATGGTGAGGAAGAATTAGAGCTTGCAGAACTGCCCCGGGACAGTGGAAATTTACGTGTGTGTCTCCAAGCTGCTTCTTGAACATATATTCAGATACAGCGCACATAGAAAATGGCAATCATTGTGATCTGCGATGCTTTTCTGTTTCAATATTTTTATTATGAAGAAAGTTTTGTGTTAAGAATACAACCGGCTCAGATACGCCCACGCAGGGGCGGAGCAGAACAATAATACGTAATGAGAGACATGCTGCTGACTTGTATTAGTCAAATCACCGAATGTCCAATGGCATCAAGGAGGAACGAACCAATAATAGCAGCCGCAATCCATCATATTACCGGGAACAAAATCTGCGATGAATTGTGACTTATGAAAGAACTCGTACTGACTGACTGCTGAAAGAATGGGAGTAGAAGAGACGTATGTGACATGATAGACATGAATAGCCCACAGAACATTCCAATGTTACACATGGAAAGGTAGATTTGGGGCAAAATTCTTGTCAGATGTTCTAACATTTCTGCTGCTCCCATAAATGTCATTTATATTATAAACATTTTGATCCAAACTCATTGGAATTAGGATTTATTTTTTGGTTGATCAATTTTGCAATCTATGTTACTAAACAAAAATTTAGAGGTACCAATCTTAAAAACCTGGATTCTGTTGTTGTATTTGACCATCATAGGAGGAAAAAATGATACGTTCTAATGATACTTAAAAATAATATTTCTAGAAAAAGAAAATGATGTACAATTATGTACCAAACGTAAAAACCTGGTTTCTGTTGTTGTATTTGACCATCATAGGAGGAAAACTTGATACTTTCTAATGATACTCTAATGAAAAAGAAAATGATGTACAGCCACAGCAGCATAAAATGTGTTCTTGTACTCGTGCAAATCATTGTCCATTAACTGTCAGATTTATTAGCTGCTATTTCCTGTTAGTGAATGACTCTATTCCCCGTGTAGCATTTACAGCAATCCTTTCTTCAACACGTTGCACAATATTTATAGCTGTTTACTTGTTTCTGTACACTAGCAAGGTGTATGCAAATGTTAGGACACCAGCAAAATGTACCAGACGTCAATATTCACATGACAGAACAAGTATACCCATAAATTCTCATCTCATGACGTTTTTCTTCCCTTCCAACCTTTTGTATTTTGAGAGGAAAGTTAAGCTGTGTATATTCTGCCAGCGTGAGGCCTGAAAACACTAGCTGGATGTTGCTGATGGAAATCTATGGACATGAAGGGCTTTACCACTTGGCTTATGTCTTCTTTGCAACTCCCCTTTCTGTTTCAAGTAATAATCCTAGGAAAGCTGAGATCTTAGGAAGGGTTACCATCAAAAGACTCCTAACATGTGTTCTCATTACTCTGTTTTGATCTTATCTTGGTAATAGTACTGAAATCTGTATCATGTTTTTTGTTGGGTAAACTGGTCTGCTTGTAATTATTGGATCTCATAACTACAGTAGCCATTAATAGAATCATTATATGTATGCTGTGTTTAGGTTGCATTGCATTCTTGGTTATAAAGGGACCAATTTGCCATCAGCTACAACAAAAATGAATTGTTCCATCATACAAGGACACAGTTTAGATCTCATTTGAAGACAGCTACCCTAAAAGTTTTGGATGCCTTTTTTTTTTTTTAACAAATCTGTTTATAGCAGAGGTGTCTGGTAGATCAGTTTTAGAGTAATACTCGACAAAAATAAATGCATTAAATGGCTTTATTACACACGCACTCCGATTTTACAGATTGACCTGATAGGCAGGCCGCTTGTTAATGACATATTGTTATATTAAAGCATAATGTATTCAAATTAAAATGTTCAAAATGTTAATATATGGTGTCAATTTAACCCCCCTGGTGGTATTCCCGAGTGTAGCTCGGGGTAAAGTTTCAGTACCAAAAGCAGTAACCCCCCCGAGCTACACTCGGGCTTACCATGCGGCGCTGCTCAGGGAGTCCCTGCAGCGCTTACCTTGTCCTTCGCTCCCGCGATGTGTCCCCTGCAGCGTCCCCGGCCATCTCCTCCAGCCAATGCCGGCATTCGTCTTCTGTGCTCCGGTCCCTGTGACGTCGGGACGTACGGCAGCAAATTTGAAATTTTTAAAAAAATTTCATTTTTTAAAAAATGATTATTACATAGTAAAACATTGCTGTTTCAAAACATTTCACATACATTTTGTCCCGAGTGCTTTGTCCGGCGCCCTGCCTGCTTTTTTACCGTTCTTTCTGCCTGGAAACTGAGAAAAGTCCATGGCGTCCAAAAAGCGTCCCTTTAGGGCAAAAGCGGTTCTAGACCGGCTAGAGAACAGCGATAGTAAATCAGAACCACTTGCAGAATTGAGTGATAATGATTTGTGGGGGAAATTCCTCATCAGACACTGAAAACGATTCTGCGACTTTGCTCAGCGATGTGCGAACTTGGCGCTCTATTTCACATTTCAGTGTTTTTGGTTTGATTATATTATTGAATTAAATTTATTATTATATTATAATTTTTTATGATTATTTATTAAATTATAATTTATGATTTTGTGTTTCAAGTTTTATCCTCCCCGGGATGTTTACTAGACTCTTGTTCGGACAGATTTCAGGGAGTTATTCCTAAAAATTACAGCCTACAATAAAAAACTACATATTTCCATGCAAAAAAATGTACCGCTTTCAGCACCAAAAATCTGAAGTAATCAGACTGCCAGGGAGGTTAAGAAGCCGAATCTCACCCCTGGCCCGGCACTCAGTACAGTGACACGATCTCATTATTTCCCTGTCTATGGCTGTATAGCACAATATTTCCTGGACTGAGTACCACTTGGCTTATGCATTGATCTCAGTCAGTCTCTGTCCTTCTGCATTGAAATTTTAGTCCAAGAACTGTAAGTAATGACACATGAATTTCTGACGACCCTGATAAAGCCATAATGTGCTTGTGAGTTCCTCTTCACAGCGCAATCAATGTGAACGTCAAATGCAAATGTAGATTTTTTTTTTAAAAAAATCCACTCTAGTGGACTAATCACACTGGGTTTGCAGCTCGGATTTATTAACACTTGTCTGTAGGTATCAAGCAGCTTCCCAGAGAAAAGGTTGTCACTTGATCCACGGCCCTTCGTTTCATTACATTGACTTCAGGTACTTGAACAATACAAATCGAAAAAAGATTTTCTCTAGTAATTTGGCTTCTATAGCATATGATTGAAGATGATGAAACCTTTGTGTAAATCAGCAATTCACCACTGAAGATTGCACCCCAGTGCAGATAAGAATTTGGTCTGTTTGCAGGCAAACTTTATTTGTGTCTGAAATTTCAGATTCCCCGCTCTGCTACTAAATGTAAAGATTGCACGCAGATCTAGTTGTTATTAACTTGTATCAATTTATTAAAATTGTAGA